AATGAAAAAAAAGCTGGGGTAGCAATACTTATATCAGACAAAATAGACCTCAAAGTGAAGGCCATAACAAGAGATAAGGAAGGCCACTTCATAATACTAACAAGAGGATATAACTCTGATAAACATATATGCACCCAATGCAGGAGCACCCACATACATAAGAAAACTCCTGGAAGATATCAGGGGAGAGATCGACAACAATACAATCATAGTAGGGGACTTTAATACACCACTGACATCACTGGATAAATCCGCTAGACAAAAACTCAGCAAAGAAACAGCAATCCTAAATGACTCACTAGATCAGATGGACTTAATTGACATCTTCAGAACACTTCACCCCAAAGCCACAAAATGTACGTTCTTCTCAAGTGCTCATGGGGACATCTTCAAAAATAGACCACATATTGGGTCACAAACAAAGTCTCCCCAAATTCAAGAAGATTGAAATCATACCAAGCATCGTCTCAGACCACAAGGCCATAATATTAGAAATAAACTACAACAAAAACAACTCAAAATACTCAAACACTTGGAAGCTGAATAGCACGTTATTAAATATTGATTGGGTTACCGATGAGATCAAAGAAGAAATTAAAAACATCCTGGAAACCAATGACAATGAAAACACAACAATCCAAAACCTTTGGGATGCAATGAAAGCAGTCCTGAGAGGGAAGTTTATAGCTCTACAGGCCTATCTCAACAAACAAGAAAAAATGGTAGTAAATCATCTAAATCTACAGCTCAAAGAATTAGAAAGAGAGCAACAAGAAAAGCCCAGAGTGAGCAGAAGGAAGGAGATAATAAAGATTAGAGCAGAAATAAATGACATAGAGACCAAAAAAACAATACAGAAAATCAATGAAACAAAGAGCTGGTTCTTTGAAAGGATAAACAAGATTGACAGACCTCTAGCCAGGCTCACCAAGAAGCAAAGAGAAAGGACCCAAATAAACAAAATCAGAAACGATAGAGGCGAAATAACAACAGACCCCACAGAAATACAAATGATTGTTAAAAAATACTATGGACAGCTCTACTCCAACAAACTAGACAACATGGAGGAAATGGACAAATTCCTAGAAAAATACAACATTCCAAAACTCAATCAGGAAGAATCTAAAAATCTCAACAGACCAATAACTATGGAAGAAATTGAAGCAGTCATCAAAAAGCTTCCATCAAACAAAAGCCCAGGACCAGACGGCTTCACAGGGGAGTTTTACCAAACATTCAAGGAAGAACTAAAACCTATCCTCCTCAGACTACTACAAAAAATTCAAGAGGAAGGAACACTTCCAAGCTCATTCTATGAAGCCAGCATCACCCTAATACCAAAGCCAGGTAAAGACAACACAATGAAAGAGAATTACAGGCCAATATCCCTCATGAACATAGATGCCAAAATCCTCAACAAAATCTTAGCAAATCAGATCCAGCAGTACATCAGAAAGATCATACACCACAACCAAGTAGGATTTATCCCAGGGATGCAAGGATGGTACAATATCCGCAAATCAATAAATGTGATACATCACATAAACAAATTGAAAGAAAAAAACCCCATAGTCATATCAATTGATGCAGAAAAAGCATTTGACAAAATTCAACACCCATTTTTGATAAAAACTCTCAGCAAGGTGGGAATTCAAGGATCATACCTCAACATAATAAAAGCCATATATGACAAACCCACAGCCAACATCATACTCAATGGACAAAAACTAACACCATTTGCCCTAAGAACAGGAACAAGACAGGGATGCCCACTCTCACCACTCCTGTTCAACATAGTACTGGAAGTATTAGCCATTGCAATTAGACAAGAAGAAGAAATAAAAGGCATCCAAATTGGAAAAGAAGAAGTAAAACTGTCCTTATTTGCAGATGACATGATATTATACTTAAAAAACCCTAAAGACTCCATCAATAAACTATTAGACTTAATAAAAGAATTTGGCAATGTAGCAGGATACAAAATTAACGCCAAGAAATCTATGGCATTTCTATACACCAATAGTGAATGTGCAGAGAGACTAAAAAAGCAATCCCATTTACCATCGCACCAAAAAGATTAAGCTACCTAGGAATAAACTTAACTAAAGAGGTAAAAGACCTCTTCTCAGAAAACTACAGGACGTTGAAAAAAGAGATAGAGGAAGACATAAAGAAATGGAAGAACATACCATGTTCTTGGATTGGTAGAATCAACATCATTAAAATGTCCATACTGCCCAAAGCAATCTATAAATTTAACGCACTTCCCATTAAAATACCAATGGCATATTTCACAGACCTACAACGTACTCTCCAAAAATTCATCTGGAATAAAAAACGACCCCGAATAGCTGCAGCAATCCTGAGAAAGAACAAAGTAGGTGGGACCTCAATACCAGATATCAAGCTGTATTACAAAGCCACTGTTCTCAAAACTGCCTGGTACTGGCATAAGAACAGACATATAGATCAATGGAATAGAATAGAGAGCCCAGAAATCAGCCCCAACCAATACGCTCAATTAAGATTTGACAAAGGAGGCAAGAACATACAATGGAGTCAAGATAGTCTCTTCAATAAATGGTGTTGGGAAAATTGGACAGATACATGCAAGAAAATGAAACTAGACCACCAACTTACACCATACACAAAAATAAACTCAAAATGGATAAAGGACTTAAATATACGACGGGAAACCATACAAATACTAGAAGAATCCAAAGGCAACAAAATCTCAAACATATACCGAAGCAATTTCTTCACCGATACAGCTCCTAGGGCATTGGAAACTAAAGAGAAAATACACAAATGGGACTACATCAAAATAAAAAGCTTCTGCACAGCAAAAGAAACTATCAACAAAACAACAAGAAAACCCACTGTGTGGGAAAACATATTTGCCAATGTCATATCTGATAAGGGCCTAATCTCCAAAATTTATAGGGAACTCATACAACTTAACAAAAGGAAGATAAACAATCCAATCAAAAAATGGGCCAAGGATCTAAATATACACCTTTCAAAAGAGGACCGTCAGAAAGCCAAGAGACATATGAAAACATGCTCAAAGTCACTAATCCGAGAGATGCAAATCAAAACAACAATGAGGTACCATCTCACACCTGTCAGACTGGCTATCATCAACAAATCAACAAACGACAAGTGTTGGAGAGGATGTGGAGAAAAAGGAACACTTGTGCACTGTTGGTGGGAATGCAGACTGGTGCAGCCACTATGGAAGACAGTATGGAGTTTCCTCAAAAAACTACAAATGGAACTCCCATTTGACCCTGTGATCCCACTTCTTGGAATATATACCAGGAAACCAGAAACACCAATCAGAAAGGATATATGCACCCCTATGTTCATAGCAGCACAATTCACCATAGCTAAGATCTGGAAACAGCCTAAGTGCCCATCTGTAGATGAATGGATTAGAAAACTGTGATACATCTACACGATGGAATACTATGCTGCTGTAAAAAAGAAAGAACTCTTACCATTTGCAACGGCATGGATGGAACTGGAGAGCATTATGCTAAGTGAAATAAGCCAGTCAATGAAGGAAAAATACCACATGATCTCACTCATTTCTGGATAATAAAGACCATTATAAACTTATGAACAAAAATAGATACAGAGGCAGAGCTGCCTCGAACAGTCTGTCAAACTACAGCAGGAAGGCCGGGGAGGGTGGGAGGGCAGGAGGGGGGTGGGTAAGAGATCAACCAAAGGACTTGTATGCATGCATATAAGCATAACCAATGGACATAAGACACTGGGGGGTAGGGGAGGCCAGGGGATTGTCAAGGGCGGGGGAAAAAAAGGAGACATATGTAATACTCTTTGTAATACTTTAAGCAATAAAAAAAAAAAAGAAGACAATCCAATTAAAAAATGGGCAAAGGACCTAAATAGACACTTCTCCCAAGGGGACATACAGATGGCCAAGAGACATATGAAAAAGTGCTCAAAGTCACTAATCATCAGAGAAATGCACACAGACACGTCAGAATGGCTATCATTAACAAATCAACAAATGCCAAGTTCTGGCGACAATGTGGAGAAAAGGGAACCTAGTACACTGCTAGTGGGAATGCAGACTGGTACAGCCATTATGGAAAACAGAATGGAGTTTCCTCAAAAAGTTAAATATGGAACTACAATTTGACCCAGTGATCCCATTTCTAGGAGTATATCCTAAAAATCCTAAATCCAATCAGAAAGAATATATGCACCCCTATGTTCATAGCAGCACAAATTATAATAGCTAAGATCTGGAAACAGCCCAAGTGCCCATCAATAGACGAGTGACTAAAAAGCTGTGGTACATATACATCATGGAATATTATGCAGCAATAAAAAAGAAGGATCTCTTACCCTTTGAGAGAGCATGGAGAGACCTGGAGAGTATCATGCTAAGTGAAATAAGTCAAGTCAGCCCTAGCCAGCTTGGCTCAGTGGATAGAGCATCAGCCTTTGGACTGAAGGGTCCCAGGTTCGATTATGGCCAAGGGCACATGCCTGGGTTGTGGGCTCGATCCCCAGTAGAAGGTGTGTAGGAGGCAGCCAATCAATGATTCTCTCTCATCATTGATGTTTCTCTCTCTCTCTCCTTCTCCCTTCCTCTCTGAAATCAATAAAGAAATATATATATATATATAAGTCAGTCAGAGAAAGACAAGTATCACATGATCTCACTCATATGTGAAATCTAATGAAAAAAATAAACTGATGAACAAAATAAATCCAGAGACATAGAAGCATGGAACAGACTGATAAATCTCAGAGGGAAGGCAGAGGTGGGTGGGTGGGGAAAGATTAACCAAAGAACTTGTATGCATATATGCATAACCCATGGACACAGACAATAGGGTTGTGAAGGCCTGGGGAGGGGGTGGGTGTGGGGTGGAGGGGGTCAATGGAGAAAAAGTGGGGACATCTGTAATACTTTCAGCAATAAAGAGAAATAAAAAAAAAAACCCTGAGTACCCCCATACCTGTCTTGCTCCATCTTTTCCAGCCTCTCCTGTTCCTTCTGTTCCTTCTGCAGCCGGGCCTGGCGTCTCTTTTCTGCCAGGATCTTTGCGGCCTCTCCTGCATTGGTGGTACCTGCAATAGGCTTCCCTGAGGCTGCACCAGAGGGATCAAGGGAAATGAAATTGATCACACTCACTTAGCAGCTGCCACTTGAAAGGGAAGATCCTACCCAGTGGGGGATGGGAAATGCCGCAGGACTGGCACAATTAGCCACTGAGCAGAGATGCTGCAATGGGCGGCTATGACTGGAATATATTTCACAGTGGAGAGCAGTGGAAAGGCTAGGAGGAGAGATAAGGTCACTAGCAGGTCCCACAGCAGCCACCATCCCTGCGCCCATCTGGGTGAACTCGTTGCATCCTTCACAGCAGCTTATAGGACTAAAGGAAGAGCCTCTCTGTGGGATGTGCTGATGCTGGCCCGATGCAGCAGGGGACAGGACTGAGGGGCAACGTGCAAGCCTCGAGAGCACATGACGTGCAGTTTTCTATATGATGGCCCTCTTTTCCCTCTCTCCCCCAAACACGAGACTCCCATGTGGATCGTGGACCAGGTCAAAGGACAAACAGGCTGGAAAAGCCAAGGCTGGAGTGGCATGGGCAAGGAGGGCCCACCTGCGCTGCTCTCGGCCTTCCCTCCTGCAGCCACGTTCTTCTCGGAGGCATGCTTCTCCACCAGGCGCTTCTCTGAGGCTTCCACCCTGAGTGAGCCAGCTGCCTGCTGAGCCAGGGCCCCTTCCCGTTCCTTGTTGCTCTTCTCTTTGTCTGCTTTCTTCTTGGGTGTTTCCTGGCCGGAAAAGGTGGCTAAGCGGTTCTGCACAGGAGACTCCGGATATGGCACCTTCACATTCTTTGGAGACAGTGGGAATCCTTTGGCAGTAGCTCTGGAAGACCAAAACCATGCCAGAAGGTAATTACTGTGCCTGACTACAGAACTCTCCAATCCTAAAACAGCTGGTTCCCTAAAGTTGAACAATTTCATCTTCTAAGAAGAACAAATGTAAGGCTCACTAGCACAAACTCAAAAGTCCCTGTCGCACTATTACCCTAACAGGAACATATACTATCTATAAGATGTCCCAGGTGGAGGTGACAATATTTTTGGAAGCCACGTTGTTGACACCATGTCCTAACATCACTTAACTTTGATGACAATGTAATGATGGAGTGTTAGGCTTTCTTCCACCACCTCTTTTAGATGGACACCAGAGCTGGATCTGGCATATTAGACTATGGCAATAGACATTGTAGCAAAATACATGTAACACAAAATTTGCCACCTTAACCATTTGTAAGTATACAATTCAGTGACATTAAGTACATTCACACTGTGGTGCAAACCACCACCACCATCCACCCACAGAACTCTGTTCCCATTAAACACTAACTTCCCATTCCTCTCTCCCCAGCCCCTGGCAAACTCCTCCCTTCTGCATTCTGTCTCTAGAAATTTGACTATTCCAGGTAGCTCACAGAAATGAAATCATGCAGGAATGATTCTTTTGATCTGGCTTATTTCGCTCAGCATAATGTCTTCAAGGTTCTTTTGCTCACACGAAGTTTGGTAATTTCATCCCCCTGCCAATTTCCTAGAAATAAGTATCTTGGCTGATTAAAGAAATTAAACACAAATTCATCATGGGAACTTACTGTGCTTTCATAGAGTTTTATTTTTAAGTGCTTCATCTATTTAATAAGGATCTATTTGATCACCAGGAGGACCCAATGAGTAGGTAGGAAACAATGAAGCCCGGCCAGCATGCCTCTGGTTGAGCATTGACCTATGAACCAAGAGGTCACAGTTCAATTTCTGACACATGCCTGGGTTGCAGGCTTGATCCCCAGTGCAGGAGGCAGCTGATCAATGATTCTCTCTCATCACTGATTTTTCTATCTTTCTCTCCCACTCCCTTCCTCTCTAAAATCAATAAATAGAAAGAAAGAAAGAAAAACGAAAAAGAAAATAGAAAAAAAAAAAAAAAAAAAGAAAAAACAAAAAAAAAAAAAGAAAAAAAAAAAACAAAAAACCAACAAAATAAAAAAGAAAAAAAAAGAAAAAAAAAAAAAAATAAAAAAAAAAAAAAAAAAAAGATAAGAAAAAAAAAGAAAACGAAGAAAATAAAAAAAAAGATAAGAAATCTTAGCAAGAAAGAAAAAAACAAGAAAGACGAAAAGAAAAAAAGAATAAAGAAAGAATAAGAATAAGAAGAAAGGAAAAAGAAAAAGAAGAAAGAAAGAAAGGAAAAAATAGAATAGAAAGAAAAAAGTAGAAAAAGAAGACGAAAGAAGAAAGAAAACGAAAAGAAAAAGAAAGAGGAGATAAGAAAGGAAAAAGAAAGAAGAAGAAGAAAAGAAAGGGAAAGAAAAAGAAGAAAGAAAGAAGGAAAAAGAAGACGAAAGAAGAAAAGTAAGGGAAAAAGAAAAGGAAAGACAAGAAAGAAATAGAAAGAAAGAAAGAAAGAAAGAAAGAAAGAAAGAAAGAAAGAAAGAAAGAAAGAAAGAAAGAAAGAAAAAACAACAGTGAAATTGCCAGTGCAGGGAGCCCAGACCTACTGAAGACACTCACCTGTAGTCAGGGATGACCATGCCACACATCTTCCAGAGCAGCCTATGGAAATGGTGCCCGCTAATAATCGATTCAATGTCCTCGACCTCCAAAGGAAAAGGCTGGCTCCAAGAGCCTTCCGTGAGGCTGTGATTCTGAGTGGGAGGTACTTAATGGGAGCCATTCAGACAACTTGGTCTTAATTTTTTTCCTCACATGGACAAACAAAATGTTTTATTTCCAATGCATGAGAAAGTGAAATTAACCTAGGCTAGGTTCCTAATACAAAACTGATCTCAGATATGAGCTATCTCTGATGGTGATTATTTAGCAGACTATTTTCTAAAGCTGGCCATAATAATAGCTCCTCCCATCCCACATGATATTTTGAGTTTTTATCGACATCCCACTGAACCTGGGTTGGCCTGACTGTTTTGAACAATAAAATACAGCAGAGAAGTAATGCTGTTCCAATTCAGGGCATAGTCCTTAAATAGCCTGGCAGCTTCCACTCCCTGTCCTGGGAGACACCCACTCTTGGGGATACTCCCTCCTAGAACTCAGTTGCCATACTGTAAGATGCCCAAGTCATATGGAGAGGCTACATATGGGCATTCTATTCTGGTTGACAGCCCCTGCTGAGCTCCAGCCAAAGCCAGCATCAACTGCCAGCCAGGTGAATGGCCCACCTTGGACCTCCAGCTCAGTTGAGCCCTAGGTTAACTCAGCTGACACTGGAGTGTAACTGTGTGGAAGATTCCAAGTGAAAACTGCCCAGTGAGCCAAAATCAACCCACAGAGAACCCACACAGATAGATGACCCAAAGAGAGACCTTCTGGTTAGCCTAAGTCAAAGAGCTGTGAGAATTAATAACAGATTATTTGTTTTATTCCACTAAATTTTGATAGTTTCTCACAGCAGCAATGAACAGAAACATTCCCCATCATAATGACCAAAGGAACAGAATATACTTCTAAGAGCCTGAAACCACTGAAGAATATTTTACACGTTAGAATTGAGAGGACGGGCACACCTACAGAAGTTGGGGCGATCCACTGGGCCATACTCAATTTCCTCTCTCTAGGTTACAAGAAGAAAGCTATGCTCAGCCACATCTTTGAGAGTGTTGCTGAAGCTAGTTTTCTAAAGCCCATGCAAGTACCCGATAATGGGAACAATAAAAATAAACTTGAGCCCTAGCCAGTTTGGTTCAGTGGATGGAGTATCGGCCTGCGGCCTGAAGGGTCCCGGTTTCGATTCCAGCCAAGGGCACATGCCTGGGTTGTGGGCTCAATCCCCAGTGGGGGTTTGTGCAGGAGGCAGCCACTCAATGGTCCTCTTTCATCATTGATGTTTCTTTCTCTCCCTTTCCCTTACTCTCTGAAATCAATAAAAATATTAAATAAATAAATAAATAAACTTGAACGCTGAAAAGAGCAATACCATTAATATGTACAGCCACCCACAAGTGGCTTAGCTTATCTGAAATCTGGAAGGGGAATAATGTGCTATCAGAGCCATTCTTCACATAGCTCATCTGTGTTGGATGGGAGTTCAAGGGAACTAAGCCCAAAGCCACGCCCATATCCAGTGTGCTTTACAGATCACACACTTGGTCTGCACAGAGGAGAGTTTGAAAACACCACTTCAGTTGGAGTTTATTTTGTGTGTGACACCATTTTAAAAATCAAGTGCTTCTCTTTTATTGACTTTCTTCAATATTGCGTATGCAAAAGACTATTTGTAAAATACAAAAGGTGTAAAGAGTGATATAACAAATGCCCATACATCCACAAACTAGTTCAAAACAAGGATATTGCAGCCCTAGCCGGTTGCTCAGTGGTTAGAGAATTGGCCCACAGACTGAAGGGTTGCAGGTTCAATTCAGGTCAAGGGCACATACCTTGGTGACAGGTTCAATCCCCGGCCCCAGTTGGAGTACGTGCGGGAGGCAACCAATTGATGTGCCTCTCTCACATCAATGTTTTCCTCTCTCTGTCTCTCCCCCTCCCTTCTCTCTCTCTCTCTAAAAATCAATGGGAGAAAATATCCTAGTGTGAGGATTAACCAAAAAAAAAAAAAAAAAAAGACATTGTAATTATGCCGGAATCTCCTGTGTGCCCCTCCCTGATAGCTTTCCCCTCCTCACTCAGAGGCCAACATCACTTTGCATTTTATGTTTGCCATTTTCTTTTACTAAAACTCATTTTACCACATTTATATTCTTTTTTTTTTTTAATTTTTTTATTTTTTTTATTTTTTTTTCTGTTCATCAGATTATTTATTCACTTGATTCTTAGATTCACTTGTTGATAGATGCATATTTGTTGTTCATAATTTGTATCTTTACCTTTTTCTTCCTCTTCCTCTTCTTAAAGGATACCTTTCAGCATTTCATATAATCCTGGTTTGGTGGTGATGAACTCCTTTAGCTTTTCCTTATCTGTGAAGCTCTTTATCTGACCTTCAATTCTGAATGATAGCTTTGCTGGATAAAGTAATCTTGGTTGTAGGTTCTTGGTATTCATCACTTTGAATATTTCTTGCCACTCCCTTCTGGCCTGCAAAGTTTCTGTTGAGAAATCAGCTGAGAGTCGTATGGGTATTCCCTTGTAGGTAACTGAGTTTCTTTCTCTTGCTGTTTTTAAGATTCTCTCTTTATCTTTTGCTCTTGGCATTTTAATTATGATGTGTCTTGGTGTGGTCCTCTTTGGATTCCTTTTGTTTGGGGTTCTCCGCGCTTCTTGGACCTGTAAGTCCATTTCTTTCACCAGGTGGGGGAAGTTTTCTGTCATTATTTCTTCAAATAGGTTTTCAATATCTTGCTCTCTCTCATCTTCTGGCACCCCTATAATTCTGATGTTGGTACGCTTGAAGCTGTCCCAGAGGCTCCTTACACTATCCTCGCATTTTTGGATTCTTTTTTCATTTTGCTTTTCCGGTTGGGTGTTTTTTGCTTCCTCGCATTTCAAATCATTGACTTGATTCTTGCGCTCCTCTGGTCTGCTGTCGGGAGTCTGTATAATATTCGTTATTTCAGTCCGTGTGTGCTTAATTTCTAGTTGGTTCCCCAATATAAGATCGAGGGTCTTATTAGTTTTCTTGTAGATCTCATTAAGTTTATCGGCGGCTTCTAAACAGTTCTTGAGAGACCTTAAAAGTGTGGTTCTGAACTCTATATCTTCCATTGACAATTTTGTCCTGTTTCTTTGTCTCCGCATTTTGTTATGCTTCCTTGGTGCACCCCCTAGTGGTCTTTGTTCGCAGTCTTATAGTTAAATCTTGATTGTTGTAGTTAATTCCAGGGAGGGTTTGACCTCCAGGCCAAGTGGCTATGAGAATCAGCTGTGTCAGCAGTGAGAGAACTTCTGTCCTCTAGGGAGGTGCTAATCTGGCGTTTGCCTGAGGCTATCCAGCAAATGCCTGTGTGCAGGGCTTGGGCGGGGCGGGTCGCACAGGATCAACAGGGTGGGCCGGAGAGAGCAGTTATGGCGGCTCTCAGTCCTGTCCCCAGGGGCTCTGCCTCTCTGAGTCCCAGCACCCGCTGCAAAGCTCAGAGAGAAAGCTGCACTCACTCTGACCGAAGCCAGACAGTCCCGCTTCTCCCGTTTGAGTCTGGGTCCCTAAAGACTCGCCCGGATCTGGAGCTCAGAGTCTGCGACTCCCTCCCGATTGAAAACGCCAACCGCGCCCTCCGCCGCCAGCCCGCTCCGCGCACTCCGCACCTCAGAATTTGACTTCAGCACTGCGCTTCCTCTGAGTGTCTGTATGCGTTTCTCTTTCCTCCTAGTTGTAGGACTTCCACTCAGCCAGCGTTCCTGTGGTTCTGGGTGATGTCCCTTCCGTTTTTTGGTTTCACTTTTGAAGTAGTTGTTCAGAGCAGCAAACTCCGGCGTTAACCTATGCCGCCATCTTGGTTCTCCACATTTATATTCTTAAAATAACAGTGCTTAGTTTTGTAATTTGAGAACTCGATCTATTCAAATTCTTCTACAACTTCCTTTTTTCTGTTTGACACTATGTTCCTGAGATCCACCCACTGGTTGTAGGCAGCTTCCATCCATTCTTTTCCACTGCTGTATACTCAATTATAGTTTTCTTGGTTTTTTTGTTTTGTTTTGTTTGTTTGCTTGTTTTATTTTAGTCAATTATATCTCAATAAAAAATAAAATAGAAAATCGTTCCTGAAACACAACCTTCAAGATTTTCAACTTCAAAGCAATAGCACAAAAAACTGAAATGCAGACAAGCATTCAGAGACAGGGAGGCGGACCCCTACTGTGGCACCTGACATCCCCACTGGGTCCAGGGGAGGAAGAGAAATGGTGCAGCTCGCTGCTGACCACAGGACAGAGTCATATCTATTGTGGCAGTGCACCCCTACCTTCAATGGGGCTTGGAGAGCCAGGTTCCCAGAACATCACCTGCCAAGATTCTGCGTTTAGGCCAAGTCCTGTTCTTATCAGCCTTAACATAGCTTTATACTTCTTTTGTAAAACAGGTAAGAAAAATACCCCTCCCTTTTTCATAATACAAAAGTAATATCTGATTTTTGTAGATAATTTTGAAAACAGAAAGACAAAAAAGAGAGGGGGAGGATAAAAACCTCACTGTCCAAGAACCACTGATTGCGTACACTTATATACATTCACCAATGTGGTTAGGTATATGTATATTAAATATCTATGGATCTTTTAAAAATAATTTATTAATCCTATGTCTAAAAATCCATCTTAAGGAAATATTAATCAATATAGAAAATATGTACTTGATAAAAATGGAACCATGTTCCACATACCATTTCTCACAATATCCTGATCATCTTTCCATGTAATTACATATTGTTCTTCATAATTTTTTGTGGCTGTATAGTACTCCATTGTTTGGATGCGTCATAATTTATTTAGCAATTCTCTATTGAGAATATTTATGTTGTCTTCAATTTCACCCTATTAAAACAAGGCTACCCATATAGTATAAAAAAAGAAATAACACAGAGCCTACGGAGAGTTTGCTTCCATAAACTGAATTCTCTCTCTAGAGAGAGGGCAACATCCCTTGTTCACGTTAGTGAAATTTACAATGATGATGATGAAACTTGTCAACTACTATCCATGTAGGAACCGTGAGTCAATATTCTAGAAAGGGCAGGGGAAATCTGGAAAAACCTCAGTGTGAGCAGGCTTTTCTCTTTGCTAATGTCAATGTCCCAAACTATCACCAGAGTTCTGACATATGAAAGGAAGACTCGGAAATAAGACAAATGGGGACCTTACAGCCCACCTATTGGATGTAGTTTGCAAGAGAGCAAAATATCATAACCAAAGGCAGGCAATAAAAGAACAGAAAGGATGCAATGGACTTAAAAAATTAACAAACCAAGATGCTATGAATTTAGCAATGAGCTATAGAAGGCTTTTCCTTGTGGAAGATGGATACAACAATAGCAGGAATTAGAAGTCTATAAAAACATAGCAAAATAATAATAGTGAAAAAGTCTCTGTTAGAAAGTAACATATTAGAAATAAGAGCTCCTGTCACCTTGAAATATTTTTAAGTAATTCCCAAGTGTTCATTAAATTTGTGTTTTAGCTTATGTTCTTTGAGCCAAACTGATGCATTAAAAATGAGTTTAGCCCTAGCCAGCTTGGCTCAGTGGATAGAGCATCAGTCTGTGGGCTGAAGGGTCCTGGGTTCGATTCCGGCCAAGAGTACATGCCTGGGTTGCGGGCTCAATCCCCAGTAGGGGGTGTGCAAGAGGCAGCCGATCAATGATTCTCTCTCATCATTGATGTTTCTATCTTTCTCTCCTTCCCCCTTCCTCTCTGAAATCAATAAATATACTTTTTAAAAATAAGTTTTATATGATTCTTTCTATATAAAGGATTTCCTATTTTCCCAAATTAAAATCATATTTCTCAGTACCACTGAAGATGTTTCCATTCTACTGCTGGACTGAGTTACTGAGTCATTCTTATCAATTACTATCAGTAAAATATTTTAATGACTTAATACAAAGTCATACAATGTAAATTTGTTTTTCATTTACATAGTTTCATGGTGAATTTACCCAACTTTTTAAAAAAACACATATAACGGCTTTGTTAGAAATAACCATACTACTAACGGTGGCTGATAAGTTGTTATTGCGTCTTTTAATGAAAGACTCACGAGCGAAATGTAACCACTTCACTCCAGATGCAGCTGAAAGAGAAAGGAAAATGCTAGAAAAGCAGAATGGAATTAATGGGCCTAAAGAGAAAATGCTGAATGGCTCATCTTGGTAACTAAGAGTCCCATATCTCTACCAAGCAACAAGACCCCTTAGCCCATTGTTTCCCACCCCAGCTGGTTTGGCTCAATGGATAGAGCACCGGCCTACGGACTGAAAGGTCCCGGGCTTGATTCTGGCCAAGGTCACCTGCCTGGGTTGTGGGCTCGATCCCCCATGTGGGGCTTGCAGGAGGCAGCCAATAAATGATTCTCTCACATCATTGATGCTCCTATCTATCTATCTATCTATCTATCTATCTATCTATCTATCTATCCATCCATCCATCATCTCTTTCCCTCTCCATTGCTCTCTGAAATCAATAAAAGTATATTAAAAAAAGAGCCCATCATTTCTCCAGAAGATACTCAAAGAGTGAAGGAGGTAAGTCACAGTTCAGCATTCCTCCTGCTCACCTCTTAGGGCCTTCTATGCCTTGTGGGGAGAAGGATACACATCCTGCACTGCACAGAGCCTCACCCAACTGGTTTAACCTTCTGACTGTGACAAAGGGGAAAGATGATTACCTGCATGACCCGGGAGAAGGTGATCTGTTAGAAGAGTCTACAGGAGAATTGTATCTTTTCACAGGGGACCCAACGCTCGTGTTTGACAAAGAAGGTGTTGCTTGTGAATCCCTCTTCATCTTCTCCATCTCCATCTGTAGGGGACATAGAATAGGACAGCCATGACCCACAACTGCAGTTTCTAAAAATACCCCAGATGGAAGCGATGCACAACTTCCTTTCAGAAGGACACAATGGGAGTATTTGCAAAGAAGCACCATGAGCTCATTATAGTTAGGTGATTTAGTCAAAAATAAATTCAGCCTCAAAATGCAAAGATTTCTTTCTCCTTGTTTTCTTGAGAAGAGTTAACAGAACCATATGATGGTCCTGGATACAGGACAAAGTAGGTTAAAAGTAGGTGAAATTACCAGCCATCATTACCTAAAAGATAAATCATAAGTAGGGATATAAAGTAATAATAATAATAAAACAAATAATACAAATAAATATAATAATTAATAAATACATAATAAAATATACTGTTTTACATACTCAGAATTGTAAACCTACTTTTGCCCACTCCTGTATATAAAGATCTACAATCATTAGGAAAAGTTTCAGGTGTGATTATAACACAAAATGGTGAATTGTGACCCTGGCCAGGTGACTTAGTTGGTTGGAGTGTCTTCTAATACACCAAAAGGTTGTGGGTTTGATCCCCGGTCAGAGCACGGACAGGAAGCAAACAATCAATGTTTCTATTTCCTATCTCTCTCTCTCTCTCTCTCTCTCTCTCTGCATGTCCTCAGGTGAGGAATTTTTAAAAAGGGGGGCAGCCCTAGCTGGTGTGGCTCAATGGATAGAGCATCAGCCTCTGGACTGAAAGGTCTTGGTTTCGATTCTGGTCAAGGGCATATGCCAGGTTTTGGGCTCCATCCCCAGTAGGGGGCATGAAAGAGGCAGCCAATCAATGATTCTCTCTCATCATTGATGTTTCTCTCTCTCCCTCTCCCTTCCTCTCTGAAATTAATAAAAATATATTTTAAAGGGTGGGGGGCGGTGGTTTAAGTGAAAGCTACAATGACATTCTTCCAGAACCAAACTGAAATTACAACTAAAATATAGAAAAACCACCTTGAATAACCAACTAAAGAATAGCTGGAGAGAACTCTCAAAACCAAGGATGGAAAGTGGAGACCGCACAGAGACTGGTAAAAAATGCAATGGTGCCAAAGAGCTGGCAGGCTCCCACAAACTGTGGTACACTTACACCATGGAATACTATGCAGCTGTAAAAAAGAAGGATCTCTTATCCTTTGAGACAGCATGGAGAGACCTGGAGAGTACTATGCTAAGTGAAGTAAGTCAGTCAGAGAAAGACAAATATCACATGATCTCACTCATATGTGGAATCTAATGAGCAAAATAGATCCAGAGACACAGACACATGGAAGAGATTGACGAATCTCAGAAGGAAGGTGGGTGGATAGAGATTAACCAAGGAACTTATATGGATACTAGAGGCCCAGTGCATGAAATTCGTGCACTCGGGGAGGGTCCCTCAGCCCAGCCTGCGCCCTCTCGCAGTCCGGGAGCCCTTGGGGGATGTCTGACTGCCAACTTAGGCCGTGAGCCCAGCTTCTGGCTAAGTGGCGCTCCCCCTGTGGGAGCGCACTGACCACCAGGGGACAGATCGTGCATTAAGCGTCTGCTCCCTGGTAGTCGGTGTGCATCATAGCAACCAGTTGTTCTGTTGTTTGGTTGATTTACATATTAGCCTTTTATTATCTAGGATATTATATAGGATATGCATAACCCATGGACATAGACAATAGTGTGGTGAAGACCTTGGGGGTGGGGCAGGTCCAGGGTAGAGGAGGTGAATGGGATTTTAAAAAAGGGACATATGTAATAGTTTCCACAATAAAAATCTGTATATATAAAAGCTAATATGCAAAGTGTCCCCTCAGGAGTTTGACCAGGAGACTGGGAGTTTGATCGCTATCTATGATGTGCACTGACCACCAGGGGGCAGCACAAAATGAAGGGAGGCCCCGGCTAGCAGCCGGAAGGCCCCAATCGGCCCTGATCGCTGGCCAGGCCTAGGGACACTACCCATGTACAGATTTCATGCACCAGGCCTCTAGTCCTATCTAATAAAGAGGGAATATGCTAATTAACTCTCACACCATCACAAAGATGGTGGTGCCCACAGTCAATAAGGAGGGAATATGCTGACTGCCACGCCCTCAAAGATGGTGGTGCCTATAGCCACAGATGGCAGCACCCAGTCCCCTCAGCCCCACCAGGGTGGCAGGCGTATGGCAAGGCCAACCCAGGTGGGCCTGGCCGCTCTGCGTGCCTGCCTCTGGAGTCCCCTAGTCCCCTCAGCCCCCAGCCTCCCAGGGCCAGCCTGAGGCACAGGCAAGCCTCAGATGGCAGCTGCCCAACCATCCAGGGCCGGCCCAAGGTGCAGGCAAGCCTTGGATGGTGGCTGCCCAGCCGCCCAGGGCTGCCAGAGGCTCAGGTAACCAGGGCCGGCCAAGGCTTGCGCTGTTGGCAGCAGCAGCAGTAGAGGTGTGATGGGGCGTCGCCTTCCCCTGATCACCTCCTGCCCCTGAGGGCTCCTGGATTGTGAGAGGGGGCAGGCCAGGCTGAGGGACACCCCCCCTCCAGTGCATGAATTTTCATACACCAGGCCTCTAGTAAATTTATAAAAAGACAGTGAGCTGTGGACCCTGTGACCCTACCCACCCCTCTATATCTTCCCCATGGTCTCCCTCTACAGGAGGCTAGAGGCATGTGCCTCGGTGCCTGGCCCACAGTGGGTGCTCTGCAAGGGTGGTTCCCTTCTCCATCACACTTTTCTGTAGCAAATCCTTATTTGGTCCTCACACCCATATTCATAGGCCCCCCTCCACAGAAATATACCCTACTATAAAAACCAAGGGTCCGAAACATTCACTTCTCATGTGAAAACCTTAGGGCTACCCTGGATTTAAAAAAATGTGGTGTTATAAAAATAAATGCCCAGTAGTACAGTAATGTGGTGGTTTTAAAATAAATGCACACATAATTGGGTGTTCTCCCTTCAACAGATGGGGCTCAATTCCCATACTCCTGAGTGTGGGCTGGTCTCAGTGACTTGCTTTTAATGCACAGAATGTGGCAGAACTGATGATGTGAAACTTCTGAGGCTGATGCATAGATGTGATACATAAACGCTCTGTCTCTCAGATCTCTTGCTCTGGGAGAGGCCAACTGCCTTGTCATTTGGACACTCAAGTGGCTCTATGGCGAGGTCCCCATTGTAAGGAACTGAGGCCTCCAGCCAATAGCCATGTGATTGAGCCAGCCTGGAAGAGCCCCAGCCAAGCTTTCAGATGACTGCAGCCCTGCACGCCATCCTGAGCACACCCTCAGGAGAGACCCTGAACTAGAAGTGCCCAGCTAAGCCACCCTCAATTTCTGACCCAAAGAACCAGTGAGGTAATAAACATTTGTTTGAAGCTGCTAAAGATTTGGTATAATTTGTTACTTTCCTTCTGAGAGTCTGGAATCTGAGTATGTGCCTGGCAGGGGGTGCCTACATGACCAGCTCCCAATAAAACTAACAGTGACAACAAACAAAAGTAGTGTAGTATGTATAATTTCTAAATAAATATACCTAATTGGCAGTTCCTGCTCAACATGTGTTTTGCTGATGGTGTCAGTATGACAAGAAAAATATTTAAAGGAGCCCTAGCTAGTTTTGCTCAGTGGATAGAGCGTTGGTCTGCAGACTGAAGGGTCCTGGATTCGACCCTGGTCAAGGGCACATGCCCGAGTTGAGGGCTCCATCCCCAGTAGGGGGCGTGCAAGAGGCAGCCGACCAATGATTCTCATCACTAATGTTTCTCTCTTTCTCCCTTCCTCTCTGAAATCAATAAAAATATAAAAATTTAAAAAAATATTTAAAGGCCACTGTGATTAATGATGGCTGGCCTAGAACCTCAGTTCCGGTTGCCTGTAGAGGCAAGACTGGCCCAGATTCAGACACCCTTAAAGAAGCAGAGAGAGGACACTCAGAACATTCTTTCTGACTCCTAGCCTCTGGAGGGCAGGCTGGAAGGAGGATGAGGTCTTTAGGAATTTGCTCCAAGGCACTAAGATTTAGGAGGGTCCAAAAAGTTAAATGCTTTTCAAAGGTTGGGTGAAATTTTAGGCCAAATCTGAACCTTGAGCAGTCCCTGGACATTGACAGATAAGCCCAAGTCAAGCGCAGGGAGGAATGGCACTGTCAGTTCAACGGGTCCCGAGGGTGAGCATGTGAGTGTGTACATACCCAGGAGACCTCCGGTCCTATAGGGGTTCCTTTCCCAGCTTTGACTCGGCTAGATGTGGATGAGGACTTCTTCTTTGTGGTGGTTCGAGTTGGCGAAGACTTGTAGGAATATTGAGCAGGGCTGCCGGTAGCTATAGGGGGGCAGATGTTAAAGACTAGAGTGTTACAGCAGAACAGCCAGAGAGACCACAGCATAGATGGAAAGGGTAGGGTGAGCAAGGAGTTGGGAATAACACACTTGTTAAAACGTGACACACAGGCAATGCCATCTAAAAATCCCACCACGCTTTTTCTCATGTGCACAGAAGGGATTATATCATTGCGGTCGGATCACGAGAATTCTCACTTCATATTACACAGTGTTGTACAAAGTATCATACTTTAAAAAGATATTAGCTTATAAGAACACATACTAAATAACTTCAAAATGCAATGGGTGTTTAATTTTAAAGCGTGCCTTTAACATTTATGTAAAATGTTCGTTGTACTCATTCAATAGAAACTTATCTGGCCACTGGCTAAAGCTAGAAATGAAACTACTGGTCCGCAATGTGGTAAAAGACTCCCACAGTCAGAGTTCAAGAGTCCAGTTCAGCCCTAGCTGGTTTGGCTCATTGGGTCCCAGGTTCAATTCTGGTCAAGAGCACATGCCCAGGTTGTGGGCTCGATCCCCTGTAGGGAGCGTGCAGGAGGCAGCTGATCAATGAATCTCTCTCATCATTGATGTTTCTCTCTCTCTCTCTCTCTCTCTCTCTCTCTCTCTCTCTCTCCCCCTTCTTCTTTGAAATCAATAAAAATATATTTTAAAAAAAGAGCCTGTGTAATTTTGTTAACCAGTGTCGCCCCAATGAATTCAATAAAAAGGGGGGAAAAAGAATCCAGTTAATTTCAGGAGTCCAAAATCTGGGCTTTGCAGCCAGACAGACTGAACAGTCACCTAATAGCTGGATCATGTTGGGCAGTTTGCTTAACCTCTCTAAACATCAACTTCCTTGTGTAGAAAGAGTTAACATAGTAGGCCTGACTACTGTCTTTGCACATAACTGCTTACAGCGTTGGGCCTTGGTCAGCATCTGTGAACTCAGATTCCAGGAGCATTCTCAGCACTAAGCAAAGCATAGCTCACTGCACCTAAGCTATTTGTACAAACACCATGACTTCTGCTTTCCTTCTAAGAGTCTGGAATCTGGGCATGTGTCTTCCAGGGGGTACCTATGTGACCAGCTCCCAATAAAAACCCAAGGCACTGAGTTTCTAATGTGCTTTCCTGGTAGGCAACATTTCACACGTCACAACTCATTGCTGGGAGAACGTGACCTGTGCCACTATCCTGGAAGAGGATGCTGGAAGCTCGTACCTAGTCTTCCCCAGAGTAAGTCATAGCAATGAGTCCTCCTAGACCAGTGATGGCGAACCTATGACACCTATGATGGTGTCACCTCTGACACGTGAACTCATTTTTTTGGTTGATTTTTCTTTGTTAAATGGCATTTAAATATATAAAATCAATATCAAAAATATAAATCTTTGTTTTACTATGGTTGCAAATATCAAAAAAATTTCTATATGTGACACGGCACCAGAGTTAAGTTAGGGTTTTTCAAAATGCCGACACGCCAAGCTCAAAAGGTTCGCCATCACTGTCCTAGACCAAGGGTGGGGAACTTTTTTTCTGTCAAGGGCCATTTGGATATTTATAACATCATTCATGGGCTATGGATTATCAACTTAAAAATTAGCCTGCTATATTTGGTCAAACATTTCATTAACTCACCCCTAATGCCTTGGCAGGGCCAGAACCAACGATTTCACGGGCTGACGTTCCCCACCCCTGTCCTAGAGAGTCACTAACGCTGGGAGGAGTCTTGGGGACCTCGTGACACATCTCTCTTCCCAAAGTTGAAATACTTCCTGCTTCCCAGGAATTTTTTATTTGTTTGAGACATAATTCACATATCATAAAAATTCGCCTTTTTAATATTTTGTGTTTCTAGTATATTCACAAGGTTGTGTAACCATAACTACAGTCTAATTCCAGGACATTTTCAGCACCCCCAAAGGAACCCTTATACCCATAAAGCATTCATTCCCCTCCCCACTCCCCCATTCCCTATCAACTACTAATTTACTATCTCTTTGGATTTGCCTATTCTGCACATTTCACATAAATGGAAACATACAATTGTGGCATTTTGTGTCTGGCTTCTTTGACTGAACATGTTTTCAAGGTTCATCATGTAGCATAAATCAGGAATTCATTCCTTTTTATAGGTGAATAATATTCCACTTTATGGAGATATCACAATTTTATTTATCGATTCATCTGGTGATGAACATTTGGTTTTTTTATACTTTGTGGTTATAATGAAAAATGCTGCTAAGAACACTTGTGTACAAATTTTGATATGAACATATGTTTTCAATTTCCTTGGCTACATACCTAAGAGTGGAATTGTTGGGCCATATGGTAACTCTGTGTTTAACTGTTTGAGGAACTTGGCCACACAGTTTTCATTCCCACCAGCAATGCATAAAGCTTACAATTTCTCCACATCCTCACCAACACTTCTTTTCCTTTTTTGCTTTGAATTTTAACCATCCTAGTAAAATGTGAAGTAGTATCTCATTGTGATTTTTATTAGCATTTCCCTAATGGCTAATTATGTTGAGCATATGTCGTGCTTATTGGCCATTCATATATCATCTTTGCAGAAACAGCACTGCTCAGAAACAGCTAGAACTAGGTAGAGAGTTATATGTCATTTATATGTCATCTCACTGATTACACTATCTTGGGAACTAAGACCAGACCTACCCTAATGTAGACAGCATGGTTCATGGGCAAACAGAAGATGCCAGTCCTGATTAATATTGCCATGATGATTTGACCCACTTTGGTCAAAGAAGGGCTTTGATGGTATGGCCCAGTGTTTCTCAGACTATAGTATGTAGGTCTGGTGGGTCCTGGAGTTTGTTTTCCTAACAAGCTCCCAGGTGATACCGATGCTGCAGGTCCATGGACCAGGGCTTGAGTAATGAGGCTCTAGACATATGTTAAACTCTCTTACTGTGCCAATCTCATTTAATCCTCATGGCAATTTAAAATAACTCCATTTTATAGATGAGGAAACTAAGGCTTAGAGAGGTTAACTTATCCAAAGTGGTAAGAAACAATAAGTGGTAGAGTTTATAAACCCCAAAGACTGGTTTAAAGGCTACTCTGCCAAACCATCTCTTTAAATTAAAAAGTCTAACCTCAAAAAAATAAGTCTAGCCTGGCTGGCGTGGTTCAGCGGTTGAGCATTGACTTAAGAAGTAGGAGGTCACGGTTCGAATACCAGTCAGGCCACATGCCCGGGTTGTGGGCTTGATCCCCAACAGAGGGCATGCAGGAGGCAGTGGATTAATGTTTCTCTCTCATCATTGATGTTTCTCTCTCACCCTCTCCCTTCCTCTCTGAAATCAATAAAGATATATTTTAGAAAAAAGTCTAACTCCCATTAACTCATGAAATAGAGTTTTTTCCTAATCCACATGCCTTCAATGACAAAATTATTTACTTACCTTTGTGACACTTAAAAAAAAGAAACATAGCAATAGCAAAACACTGGTGGGCAGGCATTTCCCAAAGCCAGTAAAAGCGAAGCAAAATACAAAAAATCAGGAATAACTTATAGGCTAACCAACACCATTTCTGGCATTTTCCTTAGTGTCACCAGCTTGGCCTCTTTTACCTGAGCCACTGAACTGCTTAGTGAATGGGACTGCACTTTTGCTCCTGGATAAAGCAGCCTGTGTGGGCGCGGACAGACGCCTAACGCCTAAGTTTTCCGGGAAAGTAACTCGCATGCCAGGAGCTGAGGAATGGAATCAAATAAAAAATGTAAAAAGCAACATTCGAACAAAACAAAACAAATGTTTAAAACAGCACAGTGCATGATGCAAATTAACTTTTGGGTGGTAGGACTAAGTGGAAAATAAAAATATTCTGGCACAGGATGGCTTCAGAGTTCATCATAGTAAAATAAAACAAATGATGTATCATTTAGAGTATGAAAGAGTGCATTAATTCTCTTGGGGTACCAAAATTCATTCAATATGCCATTACAGTATTACCTGTATCACTCACTCTAAGAGAGTTAGCCCATCTCTATAATATGGACTCAAGAAACCATTTACTCACCAAGTAGATCTAACATTGAAAAAAAGATTACTTCTACAAAACACTTGTTTTAGGTCCTCTGTAAAGAAATATTTCATAAGACACTGATTTTGTTCATGTGTAAATATGCATCCTTTCATACTTTTTCCATATAAATAAGGGCAAAATTAAATAAGCATGAAAATAAAAATAGCCATCTGATTATCAGCTTTAATGGAAGTAATAATATTCACAATCCAAAATTCAGGGACTTAAATATCATTCTGATGGTTTTGGAACGTAGTATAAGGTAATGGATTAACTTTTTCATTACAGTCAAACCTCGTTTGTCAGATGTCTCCCATCTCAAACAATTTGGTTTTTCACCAAGTTGTTCACAGAAAAAATGTCTTGGTTGTCAAACCAAACTTCTGTTTTTTGATCTGACAACCCTTTCATGCTGATACATCAGCATGACAAAAAGCTTCTCTCAGGCAACAAACAAAAGAGAAAATGCTTTTGTTGCTAGGGAAGCCAACATTAGCATAATTTTAAAACATAAAGAGGCCATCAAGAATGCTAACGTTGCTAAGGGTATGAAAGAAGCAATGAGCATAGGCAATGGAAGAGGTAGAAATACTGTTGCTGATTTGGATAAATGAAAAGCAGTTAGCCAGTGACAGCATTTTGGAAGCAGTGATATGTGAACAAGCAAAGATGCTGCATGCTGCCCTCAGAGACATCCCTGGACCAAATGCTAAAAGTGATTCATTTAAGGCCAGTGGGGGGTGGTTCAACAAATTTAAGGAAAAAAGGTGTTTATTAATAGATTAAACAGCATGTTAGACATGTACTATATATAAGAAAGGTTAAAACGGAATCATTTGGGGATCTGGAACAGATTAATTGTATTTACATTATTCTTAACGGGAAAGAATGATTCCGTTTTTTAACAAATCGCTTCTTGAACAGCCTTCCGAAACGAATTAAGTTCGAGAACTGAGATTCCGCTGTACTTTGTATTCTTTGGGTACCCAGTAGCCAGTAAATGGTTGGGGAATTAAAATGTTCAATTCATAATTAGCAAGTAGATAATTTAGCTGCTAATCTTTATATACTAATCAATGCAAATATGAATTTAACATCAATTGGTAGCCACGTGAATTCATGAAAGCATATGAAATACACAAATAGGATAGCATTATGGATTTAAAAGCATGTAGATGTTTTCTCATCCAGCTCTTAATCAATCCCAGGTTTCCAGTGCTTACCCATGAACTACATTAGAGACCAGCCACACTGACATTTATGGGTCTCTGACACACAGGACAAGCCACTGTGCTCGAGGTGCAAGGCCAATGCCATCAAAAAATAACTAGGAAGATGCACTCGCTTCTTCAAAGTCACAAACATCCTTCTGCTGGCCCTTTGGTGATGACTTGACGTGTTAAGTACTCCACTGGCACCTGACACTTCTTTAGTGAGGCTTTAAAATACACATTCGATGCATGGGCAGCTTCCCACCTTCCGTAACCTGCATGCTCTGAAAGGTCTCAGTTCAGACTTTTATCGACTTCTCTGAGCCTTCATTGGAACTCGGGTAGCTTTAAATCTCCTTCAGATTCTGACACTGGCACGTATCCTATACATATCATCTCCTACCTCAAAGCAGAGTACTGAAAAGGGCCGCCCATCATTTTCCCCTTTAAAGGCTCCATATTAATTCTGAACTGTTTGGGCAGGCCCCCAAAGCACAGGCAGTAACACATCTGAGTCTCCCACATACCTCTGACTCATCAATTCTGCCATTTCTGGCTAATCACCTACATCACACCAATAGCTGGATAGTTACTTTTTTTTAACAGTCATATCTGCCCACTGGCCAATTAATTTTGGGGGAGGATAACCCCTGCATGCACTGCGGAAGATGGAACAGTCTCTTTAAGGCAGGGAGGACAGCAGTAATTCTGTCTCTATACAACCACAACCTGGCTGCAAAGGGTGTTGCCACTTTTGTGGCCCTCACATTTAGGCCACAAGACTAGGATAATGGCAGTGTTTGCAGAAGGCATAAGAGGGGCTCTCACTCCCCTGGCCGGCATGGCTCAGTGGTTGAGTGTTGACCCATGAACCAAGAGGTCAAGGTTTGATTCCTGGTCAGGGCACAGGCCTGGATTGCGGGCTCAATCCCCAGTGTGAGGTGTGCAGGAGGCAGCAGATCAATGATTCTCTCTCATTATTGATGTTCCCCCCCCCTCTCTCTCTCCCTCCCTCCCTCCCTCTCTCCCTCCCTCTCACTTCCTTCTTCTCCGAAGTAAATAAAAATATTTAAAAAAAATTTTAGAACAAAAGAGGGGCTCTCACGAAGACTGACATTAAGACACACACACTAGAAAAAACAAAACTGGATATCAGATCTCCACGTTCACTTGCCTCGCTCTGGAGAATAAGATATTGCTGCGGAGGATGAAGACAGCCGCTTACTCATAGGAGGCTCCATCTGCTTTGGTAAATTCATACTTGATGTGGAAATTTTCTCATATGCTACAGAGAAACACAGTAAAGACATTAGTACATACACCACTGTAGACTGAGAAACACACACCCCAGCATTCTTCCCATCCTAATCCACATGCCTTCGAAGCCACTGTGACACAGCACACTGCTTCTAACATCCTCCTATCTACCAGAAAATGTTCTATGGCCTGACTGGGTGCATGAGCAGGAACTGGACTTTTTTTGAAGGCTGTCTACAGCTCAGGTTGGACAGAGAAGTCATTTATAAGGCAAGGAGCTCTAGTTAAAGCAGAATAAGCTTCAGTTGATTTCTTCCTCTTATCAAGAGGTCACAATGGCCTTTTCTCAAATGTTATGATAGTTTATGGTTAGAATGTTAACATATGGTCCCAGGTTTGGTGTTCTTAATTTTAGAGTAGTTTCTAAATGAACCCATTACAGTAAATGAAGCAGTATGGATGGTGCCCTGCCAAGCCATATTGGAACCCAAGGCAACAGGGAAGATGTATTTCTTGGCTTGAAAGGAAGCAAACTCACCAATAAGATTTTCAAAATCTACCCCTCTCCTCATGTTTTCAAATGAGAGAAATTCCATGTTTGATATTTCTTCTGACTAAGAGATGATCTTAAAACATTTTAAAGCCCTAGCTGGTTTGGCTCAGTGGATAGAGCATCAGCCTAAGCACTGAAGGGTCACAGGTTCAATTCAGGTCAAGGGCACGTACCTCAGTTATAGGCTCAATCCCCAACCCTGGTTGGGGTGCATCCAGAAAGTAACCAATCAATGTTTTTCTCTCTCTGTCTCTCCCCCTCCCTTCCACTCTCTTTAAAAATCAATGGAAAATGTCTTTTGGTGAGGATTAACAAACGAAAAAGAAAAAAAACTTTTCATTGACTTATGCTGAAGTCAAATTACAATAAATTCTTGTTTTGGTATAAATAAAATATTAAAACTTACAATTCTGAGAGTTTTAAATCTTAAAATTCTGTGAGTTTTCAATTTTTCAGTATTTTGGCAACTACTTTAATGTTCTGAAAAATAATTAACTATTGGAAATTACATGAAGTCATGTACATAGATAGGGGTACACATTTCCTCCTTTGCCTCAGGCTCCAACATGGTTCTGCATGACAATGGTCTTTAGGAATTCGATATTTTGTTCATCATGAATTGTTCTGCATTAATTTTGATTAAAATATTATTTGATCTTGATATTGTGTGCCCGAGTTGAGTACACTTGCCTCACCCTGGCCGGGACCCTGGGTGCGATTCCCAAGGGGTAGTTATCAAGTCCACCTGCCCCTCTTTATCAAGGGAAGGCCAGGGCCCACACTACAGTTCCCTCAGCCCATGCAGCAAAACCTCTGCTACTCAGTAACACTAAGAAAGATTATTCTTCAGAAAAGGGATGTTGGAAAGCAAGGATATTTACACTTACTGCTATAAACTGACCTTGTGCATGGCTAGTAAATAGTGCGTCCCTTTCACCTTGTTTTTTCTTTGCCAGCCAAAGATGGGTTGAATTTCTAAAGTCATTATTAAATGGGAGCAAAGTTTTGCTAATTCTATTCTTGACCTAGACCCTAGGAAGTTCCAAGCCTATATCGAAAGCAGAAAGCCTATCAGAGAGGTGAAGTCAAGAACCGAGCCCATTGATTGCCTTGCTTGGATCCCCAGTGTTAGTGCTGAGGAACTCCCTGCCACTCCCTCTCAACACCTCTCCAGAAATCCATCACATTAACAACACCCGGAACTCCGTGATTAAGCAGAAGTGACTGAAACACAATACTACTTAATGCCCAAAGCGATGATTAATGAGTGTGTGAAAGATCTGAATGCACAAACGTCAAACACTGACAAGATTTTCAAAGCAGAAGTTAGTGAGCTAAGGATGATGACATGTCTCCAGGGCAGGAGGATGTAAGGCATGTACAGCTCTGCGATGACAGAAACATAGAAATATGAGCATGTCATTCACATCGCTAGAAAAAATGTTCTAAGGGGTAAGACTAAGAAATCATTTGTAAAAGTGCTTCAGACACACATGGTAATGGAGGATGATGATCAGTACAGTCATCACAAAATGCCATGGCATGGTGATGCTCGGATATACCATTGGTGGACTCGGAGGCAGCAGGGGTCTCTGGATCCGGAGGAGGGGTGCTGGCCGCTAAACCTAGAGGAGGGGGTGGAGTATTTTCTGATTCACCTACACAGCAAAAAATCAGAGCAAAGAGAGATAAAGGAAAAGTCCCACTTTCTGGTTGACTTAGTTCCTACTTAGGAAACTAGAAAAAGTAACTGAAATGGGCTGACTTCTCATAAACAGAAAAACGAAGTATATTCACTGATAAGAGGTTAAATGCACAATTCAGCAAAGACAAGAAACTGTAATATAAGTGGAAACCCATCTGCTTTCAGGAGGAGCTATTCCACACATCCTATCCTGTGGAATAGGATGACAAGAAATAAGACACTGAAGGGGGAAAGCCATCCAGACTAGTAACAATCCATACAGTAAATTAAAGATCTGAACCTTTAAAATGAGTATGAACTGGATAATGAAATAAGTCATCTTGAAACAAAATAGAAAGAGCAATAAGAATTAATAATGAGGAGAGGAAACCCCTCTCCCGCTTTTTAGAGGGTAACTGCTGCTCAGCCTTTGTGGGTTGCGCTGCAGCAGTGACTTAGCCTACTGCCACTGACGTTCCCAGAAATCAGATCGTCTCAATGCTTGCCGGGTGGATCCAGTTAAGCAGGCTCTGCATTCACGTTCTTTGCTTTTCTTTTGCTTTACCTCATAGCCCAGTTATTGTACCAACTGCTGCCTGCTAGCAAAAGAATGGAGATCCCCTTCACGAGAAACACATACATAGGAAACTTGGCAGTTTGAAACATCACATCTGGAAAAGGTATCTGCAGATTGGTACCAAGCATCCCCCAGCCGCCCCCTGCAGGCTGTGCCCACAATCTCCCACCTGCCCTGGGGCCCTGCAAAGCAGGGACAGCACTAAACTCACCTTCACGTCCTCCAACCCCGACGATGACTGCCGGGGACGTTCCTCCCCAGGCTGCTGGCAAGGCTCCTCCCCAGGCTGTTGGAGAGGCTCCTCCCCAGGCTGTTGGAGTTGCTGAAGCTCCTCCCCATGAGCACCTCTTCTTCAGCTCCAGCTGCCTTGAGCGCTCCAGGGACCTGCGCAGCATAGCCTCCAGCCGCTCCTGCCCAGGTTTCGTAAGGGAGAGCAAAATTAACACCAGCCTCAATGCTGGGATGAGTCACCAAATGGGGATCTGTGCTCAGCATCCAAAACCCAGACACAAGTGCTCTCTGCTGCACAGTGCCTTCTTGGTGGGTGGAGAGTAAACAATGCGGCTGGTGTGATCCCAGACCCAACACCTCATCCCTGGGACAGGCTGTGCAGCCAGGCCTTGATTTGTTTGTTTGTGTTTTTTAAAAATATACTTTATTGATTTTTTACAGAGAGGAAGGGAGAGGGATAGGGAGTAAGAAATATCGATGAGAGAGAAACATCGACCAGCTGCTTCCTGCATACCTCCCACTGGGGATGTGCCCGCAACCAAGGTACATGCCCTTGACCGGAATCAAACCTGGGACCCTTCAGTCCGCAGGCAGATGCTCCATCCACTGAGCCAAACCGGCTAGGGCTTGATTTGTTTAAGAATAATGCTAGACACGCATTAACACCTTGAGGCCTGTCTCAAGCCTGTTTTGTCCCACCTACTATGCTCTAGACCAGGGGTGGGCAAACTTTTTGACTCGAGGGCCACAGTGGGTTCTTAAACTGGACCGGAGGGCCGGAACAAAAGCATGGATGGAGTGTTTGTGTGAACTAATATAAATTCAAAGTAAACATATCATCACATAAAAGGGTATGGTCTTTTTTTAGTTTTATTCATTTCAAATGGGCCGGATCCGGCCCGCGGGCCGTAGTTTGCCCACGGCTGCTCTAGACCCAACCAAATGCTCTCTAGTTGAAATGCATAAAGCAGTCTGATTTGAGAACATTTCAATTAAAATATAATTTAAATGTTATAGCCTTAAGCCTAACTTTTTTAGGGTGCTACATGACTGTGAGGTTTATTTTGCAAAGCCCTGTTTTCATCTTAGAATTTCTTAAAGGGGGATTAACTGTTTTCTAAATTATAACACTTTTCTGCTCTATAGTTTTCTGGGGATAATGCTACATATTTCAAAATAAAGAGAGACAAGTGTAGGGGAGCTTCTAGCCACAAAATAAAGCATCTGTGCCTTCTCAGAGATGGATGGGAAAAAGGGAGAGAGAATTCAACAGTTTTTTAGCCAGAAGAGAAAAGCATCCAGGCTTCTAACAGAGCATTTATCAAAAGCATTCTTCTCTATTAACCCAATTGTCACTTTCATAAGGTTGGGCCTGACTGCTGGCAAGTATTTCCTTGGCATTGGAGTTCCAATTCTATACTCCTCACTGCCCCAGTGATGCTGCAAATACCAACCCTTCTCCCTGCCTCCACATGGAGAAGGCCAAAGCAAGGTAAACAGTTATGCTGACACCCTTTGGCCTTCATAAAACCCACCCTGGGATGCTCCAGGAACTGGTCTAATCTTCGCCTGACTCCAAACAAAAAGATCCTCTTTTCTCCTGGCTTAAGTAAGCAAGCCAAATTAATTTAGGGCAGCACCAACTGAGCAACCGTGACTTAAGGATTAGGAAAGGCTCCCTTATTTTACTCACTAGAAACACAGAAAAGAGGTGCCTGGACCCATCCTTGGTCTACACCAGAGGGATAAGGTGAGCATTTGCCACATCTTGGCCTCCTCTGCAGAATTGCTCTCTGAACAACACTTTGCTAAGAGACAGCCTCTCCAGGGACCTGAGAGCTGAAAGGCGAGTTTTTTCCTCCTGTAAATCTCAGATTTGAATTTGCTCTACTTTTTGGCTGAGATTCCACAATCATGAGTGTGCATTTTCTGGCAGAGTCCTGTCCTCATGACCTGGGGGGGGGGTGTCCATGAAATTGTGACAGCCAACCCCCAGGGTCTGTCTGAGAAAAGCTGGGGGCATTGAGGGACTTAACATCTTGACTATTTGATGCTTGAGGTATGGTTGCTCAAGACTGGGGCTGAATAGTATTTCATTGCATGGATTTAACATATTTAATCAATGACCTAACTTAAGTGCTGAAACCTTGTACCACAGAGTAAATTTAGTATTTAGTGGGTAATGGGAGATTTCCTACATGCCAGGACCTCACAAGGTAGCCTCACATCTAATAGGCCAATGAGAAGAAAGAACACTAACACTTCAGGCCCACCTTACCACCAAACAGCTATCTAGGGGCATAATTAGAAGGGAATGATCACCCAAAGCCAGACCTACTCATTGACTGTTCAGTTACCTTTAGAAAAAAATACCTCTCCATCTACCCTCAATCCACCGAGGGGCTCCAAATTCCACCATTAGAGATTCATTCCTTTGAACTGTTTGTAGGCTTATGAAAATGAAGCTATCCCTGAAAGATGATACAATCACTTTGTGTCAACCACTTTTGTAGAGATGATGAAAAATAGATAGTAACCAAGCTCTATGGTAAGGGGATTTATAGAAGCCAAGGTTGTCAGAATGGGATGACTCAAACATCAAAAACAAAACAAAACAAAACAAACAAAAAACCAAACTGGTGCACTTCACTTTTCTTAAAGGTTAGTTTACATAGGTCAGTATTACTCAGTATGTATCTTTCTGTTCCATCATGTGATGGAATGGAAAGAATCCTAGATTTAGAGTCAGGAGATATGGATTCCAATTCCACCTCTGCCTGCTACTTTTTAGCCCTGTCACCTTGAGTTCATTGTTTTAACATCCTTGGACATCAGTTTCCTCATCTATAAAATGGGGATATTATCTATATCGACAGACCACTCAAGTCTACAAGATAATAACTAGCATAGGAAATCCTCAGCCAATGCTAACTGAATCTGAATTTAAAGAGGAGATTATCAACAGGGCAGTTTGAGCAGTGGTTCTCCAACCAGAGTGGGTCCCTCCCCCAGAGTTCCCTGCATGCTTGTTAGAATACCATGGCTGGGTCCCACCAAAGCAACTCTGGGTGGAATCTGCTGAGGATTTGCATTTCAGATAAGTCAGTCCCAGGCAATGTCAGTGCTGCTGGTCCTGGGGCTACACTTCCAGAAGCACTGGTCAGAGGACAGGCTGAGCATGAGAGAGCATTTAAGAAAGTTCCATCACAACAGAAGAACAGTATTAATAAATATTAGAGCTGCATACCGCATACCTCGACTCCTGCCAAGCTCTGGCTCTCCTGATGGTCGATAGAGGATGGGGAAAGGACAAAGCAGATTCTTGTCCCTAGAATGTCCTCTATTGGGTGGGGCTTAGTAGAAGGAAAGAGTAAGGAGACCTCATCATTGACCTCTTGAGCTCTGGCTCTAGATCTGCCTGGATGAACTCAAAGGTGAATCATGATGAAGGTGACCTGCTGAGCTGGCCTAGCAGTATAAAAGGACTCAAGCAAGGCACGGCCTGGGCACTGATACCCAAACAGCCAACTATGGCAGGAGAGGAGGGCTGGCAGAGCCTTTTCCAGTGCTCTTACTACTTGTGATCTGGAGATGACAGGTGGACAAGCTCCCAAATGGTCTCCAGCAGAGCTCCATAGAGGGTTTTTCTCTCTACAGATGTCTACCTCTAACCAGAAAGGCCATTCAGTCACTATGGGTCCACAGCAGCCAATGGGCAGCCCTTGGCTTAGTGAAGTTATGTTTAGGTTGAGTTCAGAAATGTGTCTTTCTTTTCTTTTTTTAAATACTCACCCGAAGCTATTTTTCCATTGATTTTTTAGAGAGTGGAAGAGAGAAAGACAGAAATATCAATGTGAAAGAAGCACATTGATTGGTTGCCTTCTGCACATGCCCCAACCAGGGCCCAAGCTGGGGAGGAGCCTGCCCTTGACTGGAATTGAACCTGGGACCGTTCAGTCCGCAGTCTGATGCTCTATCCACTGAGCCAAACTGGCTAGGCAAAAATGTATTTTTCTTACACTCAGCCTGGTGGGTCTTGTTAGGTATTAATCAATATCACAATGATAAGTTGTGATGTGTCAAAATACCTTACAAAGATGAAGCTACTCTTTGAGAGAGGCCTTTCTTAGCATGAGGAACATGGACTTGGCTTTGCCAGGCTCCATTTTCCAGGGCCTCTGATCAGGAAGCCATCCCTCCCAAGTGGAGAATGGGTGACCACAGTTTATTGTCAGCCCTACCCCAGGGAGGTGACAAGGCTTGCTCCAGAAGCTCCATCCTTGGAGCATGAGAGGGTTGGAGGAACCTGCCTTGAGGAAAAGGCAGCCTCCAGTGGACAATGGACAGCCCGTTCCCCAGGACAGGCCTGGCCAGCCTCCAGTCCTCCTGACCTTCAAGACCCCTGGGAGCCAGGCTGTCTATGGTGCTCACTTCTCTACTGGCAGACAGAGGCCCCCTGGCTGAGTCTGGGGCTCACCCATACAGATGTGAAAACTCACCAAGAGCCCTAGCTAGTGTTGCTCAGTGGATAGAGCGTCAGCCTGTGGACTGAAGGGGTCCCAGGTTCGATTTTGGCCAAGGGCACATGCCTGGGTTGTGGGCTTGATCCCCAGCAGGGGGCATGCAGGAGTCAGCCGATCAATGATTCTCTCTCATCATTGATGTTTCTATCTCTCTCTACCTCTTCCTTCTCTGAAATCAATAAATACATTTAAAAAAAAAAAAAAAAAAAAGAAAAGTCACCAAGAGCAACATCATGGCAACCGGTCATGGAGCCAGGACAAGGCTGGGGGGAGAGGGGGGAAGTCATGGGATATTTTTAAAAATATATTTTATTGATTTTTTACAGAGAGGAAGGGAGAGGGATAGAAGTTAGAAACATCGATGACAGAGAAACATCCATCAGCTGCTTCCCGCAACCAAGGTACATGCCCTTGACCGGAATCAAACCCGGGACCCTTCAGTCTGCAGGCTGATGCTCTATCCACTGAGCTAAACCACTTAGGGCGAGTCATGGGATTTTTATGAGCTCCTAATATCACACCCACAGAGGCAGGACTTGGTGGGCAACCCAAACACTTTCTAATAAGATAGAGAAGCCAAATGGGCTGCAGTGGAATGAAGCCCTGCAGAGGCTTCTCCCTGGTTGACAGAGGCAGAGCCGGACAAAAAGAACCGAAATCTGCCCCTGGAAAGAAAAAGGAGAATCTCCACAGCTGTGTGCCAAGAGGCAGCAGCCCTCCCAAAGATCTCCAGGGACCCATGGGGCTGTGTGCAGAGGGTTTCCTTAGGAGAGGGGCTCCCACCATCTAGACTTACCCATTCTCCCCAAAGATCACCCAGGCGAATCCCAATCAGGCCTCTGCACAGGCAGAGCCAAAGCCAACATGGCTAGCAGGCCAGCCTGCATGTGGATAGTCCCTAGGCTCCACCAGGCTTGCCCGGCGCCCTAAGGGCTGGAGCAGGTGGCAGAGGGAGGCTGCCGCTTCCTTGCCTCTGCCTCGCTAGGTTGCTACACAACCACAGGAAGCCCAGCTCTCGGCCTCGCCCTGCGGTGTCTGGGGAGAAGGAAGCAAGCTTGGCTTGTGTTTATGCTGACAAGGGTCAGGCAGCATCCCCTGTTCTCTGCCATCACCATGTTAGGGATGAAAGGGAGCACACAAAGCAAATAAAAAATTAGTCGGCTGCACAACCACTAAAGATTCAGCTGCATCAGGACCAACCATCTGGCATGACATTCCCTCACCTGCAAGAGCGAGGAGTCTGAGAGCTTGATTTCAGGTAGGCTGAAGTCGCTGAAGGGAAGCAAACATTTCTGAGCATTACTCTGTGCTAGGTGCTTTGCTGGGCACTTGCACAAATGTCACTTCCTTTAATTCCCATGACCACCTCTGTTTTGTGCTAAGAAGACTGAGTTAGAGGGCTATGAGAGGCCAGGGCTGGGGTTTACATCAGGAGCAGATGAAGCCACACAGTGGTCAGGCTGCAGCCAGCAGCAGGGAACCATGGCTAAGGCCCTGGCTTAGACCTTCATTTACTAAGAGGAACAAAGAAATTGCCAGGTAAACAAGTGTTTTGTGGGCAAAGATGAATGTAATTGTGTGTGTGCGCATATGTTGGTGTTTTTTAAATTAAAACAAGAGGAAAGGGTAAAGATATATCATGATAAACCATTCATACATTTAAAAAATACTGAATTTGCCTGGCCAGCGTGGCTCAGTGGTTGAGCATCGACTTATGAACCACAATTCAATCCCCGGTCAGGGCACATGCCCAGGTTGCGGGCTCAATCCCCAGTGTAGGGCGTGCAGGAGGCAGCAGATCAATGATTCTCTCTCATCACTGATGTTTCTATCTCTCTCTCCCTCTCCATTCCTCTCTGAAATCAATAAAAATATATATTTTTAAAAATACTGAATTTATAGGAAATTTCTGTATTCTACAGTGTTGGCAATTAACAAACCTCTATGTTGTTCATACTAAATGATGAGTCATTATACCTTATGAATAAAAGATGATCATCACCTGATACAAGGCTATGACTACATCCTTAAAATATACTTGTTAAGAAAATCTAAACCCCAAAAATGCTTTCCAAATATATTTTCAAAGTTTAGTAATAAAAGACTTGGTAGGGGTAATTAGATTCCATTTCTTTTTTAAAAGGTAACTAGAAAAGATGATGAAAGCAAGGAACTGCATTATAATATACTAGCATCTTTGGATTTAAAGGCAGACAATTTGATTTTTCCAGCAGTGAATAACAGGATCAAGTTATCTTCCACACTCACAGCCCTTCCTCAAGCCTGTAGGCTCAGACCCCCAGCAGAACCCCCAGGTCTACATCACTAGGCCCCTATCTACAGTTCCCTCTGAGTCCTAGAGTCAGAGATGGTTAGGCTGTAAGAGGCCTTGGAGACTGCCAAACTTAACCACTCACTTCAGAGACAAGCCATTCAAGGCCCAGAGAGGTCAAGTGACTTGTCCAAGGTCACACAGCATATGAACAGCTGAGTTGAATGGATAAGTCATTTTGTTCTTAGCCTAGTGCCGTGGTCGGCAAATTGCGACATGCGGCTCTTTGGCCCCTTGAGTGTGGTTCTTCCTAAGCCTTAGGAGTACCCTAATTAAGTTAATAACAATGTACCTACCTATATAGTTTAAGTTTAAAAAATTTGGCTCTCAAAAGAAATTTCAATTGTTGTACTGTTGGTATTTGGCTGTGTTGACTAATGAATTTGCCGACCACTGGTCTAGTGTATTACTGGACTTCCAGTGTGATGCTGCTGAAAGACAATATGGTGAGCCACCCAGCAGAGAGCTTAGGAGATCACGCTTGTACTGGGCAGGACGCCCTGGTGCCCTGAGCACCAAGCCCTGTGTGAGCTGCTCAGATGAGTTGGGGGTCCCAGAACTTTACCCCATCCTCCCGGAGCTTCTGCCTCCTCTTCAGTTCCACCGCAGCCCTCTTCTCGTCCTCCCTGCGCCGTTGTTCCTCTAGCTTGCGCCATCGTTCTTCCATCTGCTTTTCATACTGGAGTTTGGCCCTTTTCTGCTTCTCCAGGAACTGTTGCTCTCGTACAGCTGGGGGAAGAAAACCAGAGAGGTGGCATTAACAGCGCACTCCACACCCTTTGCATTAAGACCAACAATGCGGAAGCAAGAGAGACCAAAAAAAGAGCCCAGTGGGAGCTCAGGCCACAGTGACTGAGATGAGGGGTTCTGGCAGCTCTGCCACTAGCTGGGTGGCCCTGGGCATGCTAACCATACCATCTCTGCTTTGGTTTCCTCCTCTGTGACATGAGGACAGTCACGTTTGCAACATCATGGTGCTGTGAAAATGGAACGAGACAATGCATGAAAAAGGTACAGTATGTTACCCTACACGTGGCAGCTACGACTATCAGTGTCATCCTCGAGTCGGTCTTGCCAGCCTGTGTAAGCCATACACGGGCTGAGAAATGAGAGTTGTAACGGTACATTCATTCAAAATTCAAAACACGTTAACTGTGTGTACACCACTCACCGAGCTAGGCAAGGGGGTAAACACATGAATGAGCTTGGCCTTTACAACACAATTAATAAAGGGGCCTTAACCCTACCTGGCCCAGTCAGGGAAGGGTTCCCTGGAGGGAACAATGCCTGAGCTAACCAGTAGGAGGCAGTCAAGAGAGAATTTGAAAGCTCCTCATTTGTCTCAATTCGGGGGGTAGGGGATCACTTTCTATTTACCTCAGAGCACCCCGTGGGGACATGCCCTACTTACCCATCTACAACCTGCAAGAGGTAAGGCAGCCTTTCTCAACCGGGTTCCCCATCTTAACACAGATAATGTCTCAATTGGCCTTTCTCGAAGCCCCAAAGAGAGAGAACCTGAGTGAGGGCATACAGTGGATACCCGAGAGGCGAGGGTGGCAAGCGCTTCTCAGGTTCTCATTCCTCATGCTACCCACAGCCCCAAGCACAGGGCCTGGAACACAGCGTACGCTCAATGTGTGCTAGGCGAGTAAAGGAACTATTTGGAGAATAACATAATTGTGAACGCACCAATCGCAGCATGGGTTTGCCCCCAATTCTCCACGTTCATCTAACAACTGTCCTACCTTTCTTCCAATTCAGTCGAAGAATTTTAAGGCTCTTGAGGAAAGATACAGCCATATCTCCACTTCCTTGGTCCTAAACTGCCAAAGTGCACAACTTACCCAGAAACTTTTCTCTTTCTTCGCGTCGTTCCTTGGCTAGTCTTTGTCTCTCATCACATCTTAAGAACCCCTCCATGCCTGCAAGAAAGAAAACATGATTTTTAGAGAGAGTGGAGGGAGGGAGTGGGGGGGGAGAGAGACACATCAACTGGTTGCCTCCCATACCCACCCTGACCAGGGCTTGGCATTGAACCTGCAACCTAGGTATGTGCCCTTAACCAGGAATCAAACCCGAGATCCTTTGGTGCTTGGGCCTACTCTCTAACCACTGAGCACACTGGCCAGGGCCACATGCTCAAGTTTGATTTTGGTTCTGAGAAATTTGCTCTGATGTCAATCTCAGTATTTTATTTGTATTTATTTTTAAAATATATTTTTATTGATTTCAGAGAGGAAGTGAGAAGGAGAGAGAGAGAAACATCAATGATGAGAGAGTCATTGATCGGCTGCCTCCTACACACCTCCTACTGGGGATGGAGCCCGAAACTCAGGCATGTGCGCTGACTGGGAATCGAACCGTTCTTATAGTATGGGAAATAATTTACAGCACTAGGTCACCATTGGTAATTCATGAATATTATTTATCTAATGTTCCAGTACAACATTTAGAAGCAATAGGCTTCAGTGTTAGCCCAACCATCAGCTTCCTAGTTCCTGAAACCTCCTCTATTGTGACATCACAAGCTGGCTTCATTGTGCCAGTTGCCATGGAAACCTGTGCCCCACCCCTTTCTGGAAGGTTCCTGTACTGTCCAGGAAGGACTGAGGGGTCTGGGCTACAAAGTAGGAATATGAATAAGGACAGGGATAGATGAGACAAACACTAGATTGTCACGATTCCCCTCCAGCATCTGCTATTGCCGCCTGGATCACAGACAGGGCAAATCAGTGCTTATTAAGAGAGAAGCACTAAAAAAATCAACCCTGAACTAGTGTCACTCTCCATGTTTGGTTTCAATCAACTTAATCGATGCTACCAACAACATGGATGGCATAATTTCAAGCCCCCTCCCAAATAAAATAATTTCAAGGCCCAACTTCTCAGCTCTTCACTGCTGGGCCCCACAATCAAAGCCCAAACACTCTTCCCAGCTTGACCTCAGCACTGCCCCTTTCTCCCACACACCTTCCAACTAAAACCGCCCCTTCTCCCCCTCCCCCATACCTTCAAGCCCCCACAAGTCCCCAGACCCTGAGATACTCTGTGCCCCCCAGACAGAAGAAGCCTAATTTCATTCTGTTTGGTTGTTGTGTTCTCCTCTAACTCGTTTTCCATGGGGACAAAGAGGTTACTGAACCAAGGTGGCTTCTGCATCTCTGGGTCACCCAGCTCAGGCCACTGTCCTGTCCCCCACAGTTGCCCCAAGATACACACATAGTCAAAAGTAGGCATGTAGTTGGTGGAAGGGGAGCAGTGAGATAAAACCACATTTCTCTTTTCTCTAAATATGTTCAGGCTCTCATCTCTACAGCAAGAGTTTGACTAGTATGAATATGTTCTACGTGAAAAACCACAAAGAGAAGTCAAAGAGCCCTGGACAGATGCTTGTGCCCTCCCAAGGGGGACATGCACCTCTCTGTGGTGCCCACGCCACCCTCCAGGCGTTAATGGGCCTGCCCCATATCTAAGGTAGAGCACAAGAACTACTGAAAATGTTCTTTAAAAAGAAGAAAGAAAAAAATGGAGAGAAAAGGGCCAAGCTCATTTGAAACTGGCCACCTTACCTCGAGGTTTTTCGAACAGAAAGCTGGGTTTTCCGTGGACATACATGATTTCAGGCTGCCTCCTGGTGGACATTTGAGGCTCACTTTCAAATCCCTAACAGCAAGTCTTTACTATGATGCTCCTGCTCTGTTTCATCATAATAGGAGATGACAACAGAGCAGTTACTATGGACCAGTGCACTGCTTGGATTACTGTCATAATAGGAGGTGACAACAGAGCAGTTACTATGGACCAGTGTACTGCTTGGATTACTGTCACCAGGGCACTGCTTGGATTACTGTCATAACAGGAGGTGACAACAGAGCAGTTACTATGGATCAGTGCACTGCTTGGATTACTGTCACCAGGGCACTGCTTGGATTACTGTCATAACAGGAGGTGACAACAGAGCAGTTACTATGGATCAGTGTACTGCTTGGATTACTGTCACCAGTGCACTGCTTGGATTACTGTCATAATAGGAGGTGACAACAGAGCAGTTACTATGGATCAGTGCACTGCTTGGATTACTGTCATAACAGGAGGTGACAACAGAGCAGTTACTATGGATCAGTGTACTGCTTGGATTACTGTCACCAGGGCACTGCTTGGATTACTGTCACAACAGGAGGTGACAACAGAGCAGTTACTATGGACCAGCGCACTGCTTGGATTACTGTCACCAGGGCACTGCTTAGATTACTGTCATAACAGGAGGTGACAACAGAGCAGTTACTATGGACCAGGGCACTGCTTGGATTACTGTCATAACAGGAGGTGACAACAGAGCAATTAGTATGGACCAGGGCACTGCTTGGATTACTGTCATAACAGGAGGTGACAACAGAGCAGTTACTATGGACCAGGGCACTGCTTGGATTACTGTCATAATAGGAGGTGACAACAGAGCAGTTACTATGGACCAGTGCATTTGGATTGCTATCACGATCTTATAGGTGCAGAAAGGGAGGCACAGAGAGGTTAATTAACTTGTCTGAGGTTACACCTTCAGAAGTGGAGAAGCCAGGTTCCAATACAAGAACCTGACTCCAGGACCTACATACTTTCTTTTTTTAAAATTTGTATTTATTGGTTTTAGAGAGAGAAGGGAGAGAGGGAGACAGACAGACAGACATCAACTTGTTGCTCCATTTATTTATACATTCATTGGTTGCTTCTTGTGTGCCCGACCAGGGATCAAACCCACAACCTTGGTGTACTGCAAGCATGTCAAACTCAAAGGCTAACACAGGCCAAATAAACAAGTTTAAGTGTATGTGGGTCACAAAAAAAAACAAAAGCTTCAATTTTCATAGAAATGTAGGTTTATTTCTATAGAGACATGCTGAATCCAAAGGGCTGAAACAAATGAGTAATCGTTAACATAAAATAGTAGAACATTTTATAAAATTAATATTTTTTCTTGAACATTAACTTACCAGACACTGAATAACTGCACAAATTAATAAGCGTAATGCAAAAAAACCTATTTTTCTTGTTCTTCAAAAGCGAAATATTTCCTTAGTCCAAGATTAATGACGTGGCCATCGGCTGCTAAAATATTCGCTGCTGGTATTAGTGGAGAGAAGTGGTGCGCCTGTGTAAGGCGTGTAAGGCGCATAAGGCGCGTAAAGGCGCGCTTTTAAGGGAAATGGATGCAACACGAGTATAGTGATCAGTCATTAGCGAATGTTAGTTCATTATTAATCCTATCTAATAAAAGACAAAAAGGGTAATTAACCGTACCTCCACTACGCTTCCCATTGGCTAATCAGGGCAATATGCAAATTAACCGCCAACAAAGATGGCAGTTAATTTGCATATGCAAGCTCCAAGCGGTGGAGTGAAGCCAAACAGCCCCGAAGCCATTGAGCAGCGACGCCTCACTGCCCCGGGATCAGCGGAGCTGCGAGGCCTCCCAGCACCGGCGTCAAGCGGAGCCGCAAGGCCTCATGCCCTGGGATCAACGGAGCAGCAAGGCCTCCCAGCACCGGCGTCAAGCAGAGCCGCGAGGCCTCATGCCCCAGGATCAACGGAGCAGCGAGGCCTCCCAGCACTGGGATCAGCGGAGTCACGAGGCCTCCTGGCCCCTGGAGCAGCATGACAGGGGGTGGTGCCACAACCCCCAGATAGGCTCTGCTCTGTGGGTGACAGGGGGCAGCGCCCCAACCCCCTGATCCGCCCTGCTCTGTGCGTGACAGGGTGGAGCTCCCCAACCCCCTGATCGGCCCTGCCCTGAGTGTGTCAGGGGGCAGCACCCCAACTCCCCAATCGGCCCTACTCTGTGCGTGACAGGGAGGAGCTCCCCAACCCCCTGATCGGCCCTGCTCTGTGCGTGACAGGGGGCAGTGCCCCAACCCCCTGATTGGCTGGCTCTGTGCGTGACAGGGGGCAGCGCCCCAACCCCCCCCCCCCATCGGCCCTGCTCTGTGCATGACAGGGGGCAGTGCCCCAACCCCCTGATCGGCCGGCTCTGTGTGTGACAGGGGATGGCACCACAACCCCCCCCCATCAGCCCTGCCCTGAGCGTGACAGGGGGCAGCGCTGCAACCTCCCGATCTGCCCTGCTCTGTGAGAGGCAGGGGGTGGCGACACAACCTCCCCATCGACCCTGCCTTGAGTGTGACAGGGGGTGGCGCTCCAACCCCCCAATCGGCCCTACCCTGAGCGTGACTGGGGGTGGCATCATAACCGCCCGATCTGCCCTGCTCTGTGCATGACAGGGGGCGGTGCCCCAACTCCCCAATCGGCCCTGCTCTGAGCCCGACCAGGGGCTGCACCTAGGGATTGGGCCTGCCTTCTGCCACCCGGAAGCGGGCCTAAGCCAGCAGGTCGTTATCTCCCAAGGGGTCCCAGACTGTGAGAGGGCACAAGTGGGGCTGAGGGATACCCCCCCCCAGTGCACAAATTTCTGTGCACCGGGCCTCTAGTTATGTATAACAGGATATTATAAAAAATAAGTTATGAAATTTTTATTAAAACGTTTCTTGCATACCGTTATATTGGCTGAGTCGCAAAAATATTCATTGTGGGCCACATGTGGTCTGTGGGCCACGAGTTTGACATGTTTGGTGTATTGGGACAACACTAACCAACTGGGCTCCCTTGCCAGGGTCATGACACACACACACACACACACACACACACACACACACACACACTTTTTTTTTTTGAAAAGGCATATGTAGAGGATCCCCTGCTCCATGGCTTTTATTTTGATAAAAAGTCCTGCAAATCTAAACATCAAGCTACAGAGTTACAACTGAATGTACCTCACCATGAAAGGATTTTGGCAAGTGCATCCCATGAAATGGATCACAATTCATATAAAAGTGGTGATATGGAGAAGACACTCACTGGCATGCAGAATGCC